GAGAGCTGTTCCTGCTGGTGCTTCCTCTTGTGATGGCTCTGGAAGCTTTTTCAGAGGATGCAGCTGCAGAGCATCCTTCCCTTCTTCCTTTTGGGTGTCTTTTGGGGATGGGGGTGGACAAGTGCTTTGTGTGCAGGGCAGGACCAGCCCTAGGAGTCCTCCCCTTCCAGAATTATCGCTCTGCAGCCTCTCTCCTTGCTGAAAGCCTGGAGACACTGCTGCCCACATATACAGCAGAGCTGTCTGAGTTATTTAAGGACACAAGGATTTTCTTGCTGCATTCCCACGTCACGTGGCTTGCTCATGCAGGCTGGTTTGCGGCTGCTGCCGGTTTCTGCAGTAGGCAGCACCCAATTCCAGGGAGGGAATGGCAGCTTTAAAATCACCTCTTGGCTTTGCCATGGGGGAATGGAGGACGAAAAGACCTCCCTGTGGCAGGGATGCAGGGCCCACTGGGGTCACACTCCCCAGGCCTGCGTTTTCAGGTCCTGCCTCACTGCCTCTTCCTTCTTGGGTCACCAAGGTGTAAAAATAGCCGTGGGGCAGCGGCGCGATGCCATAACCCACGGCGGCCCCAGCTTCCAGGAAAGCATGGTGCTGTGCCGCGTGGCTGTGCCGTGCCACGTGCCCTGGGCTGTGCTATAGATAACCCCAGGTCTGCGCAGCGACAGCTGATGCACCGCAGAGGCATCCGATGAGCTCAGCTGGGTTTTCGGCTGCCCCTATCCCCGTCCCGGCTCCCCAGTCAGGTGGCGAGGAGCTAAATTTAGGCCGCTTGTTGTTGGTCATTGGTGGTGCCGTGGGGAGGAGCAGGGATGGGGACTCGGCAACACAGGGTGGGAGGCTCAGGGCTCTCGTGGTGCAGTTACGGGGCCGGCTGATGGTGTGTCTCCCTTCCTGTCCCCTCAGGCCCTATGCGGCTGCACCGTGAACATTCCCACCATTGACGGGAGGGTGATCCCGCTGCCCTGCAACGACATCATCAAGCCGGGCACAGTGAAGAGACTGCGCGGGGAGGGGCTGCCTTTCCCCAAGGCCCCCAGCCAGCGAGGAGACTTGATCGTGGAGTTCAAAATCCGCTTCCCGGACAGAATAGCTCCCCAGACGAGACAGATCCTCAAGCAGCACCTCCCTTGCTCCTAGAGCCCCGGGGACTCTCCTCCAAGCAGCAATACTCCAAATGCACGTGCCGCAGCATCTGGCTCGCACAGAGCAGAGGTGCCAGAGCACTTTCAAATGCAAAAAACCCACTTTTCTTCCCCAAAACTCCCATCTGTCCCACCCACCTCTGCCCCTCTTGCCCCATTTTGTACTCCAGTGGTGGGAGAGTCTCCTGCCCTCACCTCTCTCCCAGCTGCCGCCTTTTTTTGTTTTTTTCAGAGGTCCGGCTTTGCTGCCTCGCACAAGCGCACGGCACAGGCTGTGACTTGGGGATGTGCATCACTTTGTGGTTTTTGTGTCACCCGCTTTTCAAGCCAACCTTCTGACCGGAGGGTGGGATTGTAGGGAGCTCAGAGCAGTGTAAATAGGACTTCACGGGATCTCGCGTCCCTCCGTGTTAGATTTCTCTTCCCTTCTTTGATACTTGCTGCTGTTCAAGGTCCCGCCGTACCGAGGTGCCAAGGAAACCGTCCTGAGCGCGTACGGCCAAGGGACCGCTCCTACCGGACCGCTTCTAACCTGGGACCACAGCACCCAATCCTACTGCGGTCCCCTCTCCTGTGCCAAGACCACCACCGAGTGTCACCTGTGCCAATGGACGGAGCTCAGAGCAGTGGGGACGGTCCCTTCCAGCCTCCTGCCCAGGCTGGGAGCTTTCTTGTTCAGATGTGTTGAGTTTGCATTGCTGCTTTATTTTTTAATACATATATTTAGCTCGTTAGGTAACTCTGTAAGGGTTTTCTCTGCCCGTTTTGGGTTTCCTGGAGTGGTTGACCCCGCTGTTGGGGAGCAGTTCAGCCATACAAACAACCTGCCTGTGAGAGTGGAGAATGTGTGTAGCACAAGACTGGGTGCAAAAGCAGAGCCAAGCGTGAGCAGAGCTGTGGTTTTGACTAGTGTTCGAGTTCAACCTTATGGATTGTAATAGGTAGAGAAATGCACGTGTATATATTTTTCTACAAGGAAGTCTAATTCAGGAGGTGTTTCCGAGTGTGACGGTGGAGCTGAGAGGAGCATGAGGCAATCTGCTTGGTGGTTTGGTTTTCAAATGCTGTATTTTTTTAAAAACTTCGGATTTCCATCAGGAGAATTTTTATATTTCTTACCTTCCTCGGCCAACTCTGCCTCTTGCCATTTTTTTCCCTGGAGGGGCCAGCCGGGCTCCTCCCCCACTGCAGCTCTGCGCCTGCCTGAGCGGCGCGGAGAAAGCCAAGGCGCTTCCCCGGGCACCTTTCTGTGAAGGGAAATCACTGGCTTGAAGCAGGGATCTGGAGGTATACAGCTGTACAGTGCATCACGTGGCAGGAGGACAGCCCGTGGGCATGGGGATAGAGCACTTGCATTATTAAAGCACTACTTAATTTATCAACCAGTTTGACTTCAGGTTGGGGCGCGCCGCCTTTTCCCTCCACTGATCTCTCTGGAGTTCAGCATGCAGAAAACTGGTGGACACTGATGGAGCGAGAAGACAGGTCAGCACACAGATGCAAGCTGCTTTGTTTTTCTCAGTTTCTATGAGACCTGAATGTTTTATAGTGTTTTGGGTTTTTTTTGTTTGTTGTTTTTTTATGTAACTTTTTTTTTTTTTTTTTTTGTAATGTCAGTATTGAAGAAAAATAAAAAATATTTTGAAAAATATAACTCATTGGTATGTGTTGTGGTGGGAGGTGCTCACCCCTGGTACAGGGGAAGGGCCTCGGGCTCCTGCTGGTCCCATCTCTCCCGTTGGAGTGATGCTGGGACCCAGCTCTTCTCAGAGGAACCCCGGTGCTCGGTGAGGAGAGCAGCACAGGATGCAGCCGGGGAAATTCCCTCTGGTGCCAGGAAATCCGCTTGTCCATCGGTGCAGTCAACCCACCAAGGAAGTCCATTCTTTGAGACCTCCCACCCTGGATAGGGCAAGGACCACAGCAAGCTGCTTTGGGAGGAGCTTGAAACGAGGCTTTTCATCAATCCTTCCCTCCCGTTCCCCTCCAGGACTGCGTGTAACCCCGCAGCTTGGTCCTGAGGACAGCAGCAGCCGTGGTCCACCCCTGGTGGCTTCGGAGCAAGCTGGGTCAGGGATTCGATGGGAACAGGGACTGGAGCCGCAGTGAGCACGGCCACCGCCTGCCCTCTGCTGGCAGCAGGAACCCAGTAGGCCCATGGGCTGTGGGGTGATGTCAAACCAGCCTGCAAATCAGCGCCTTGGCCATTGAGACCTCCCCGCCACACACCTCGTGCCCGGTGGAGCCGAGCTTTACGGCTGTGGAGCGCTGAACATGGCTTTAGGGCCACGCCAGGGAGCTCTGGCCATGGCAACATGGGAAGAGCGCAACCAAGCTCCCAGACTCTGTCCGCCTGGGGGCTACTCCAGCCCCAGCCACTGCTCCAGAAGTTCCCAGGGGTGCCAGCCCTTCCACTGGATTTAATCAGTATTTGTAATTAGGAGAGGAGGCAGGGAAATGAGCTCCAAGAAACTGGGACACACAGCACCCCCTGCCTCCTGCCCCAGGCTGCAGGGTGCACAGCAGTGCCGATGCTGGATTTGCCAGCAATGCTGCCCAAGCTCAGCAGTGCATGGTGGCATCCCCAAAGCGCCTGTGAAGAAGAAATCTGCTCAGTGCCAGAGCTGGGTAAGGCTTTTAATAAGTCCAGAAGAGCTCCTAAAGAAATAGCCTTTTACCCTTCCCTGGATTGCAGACAGCACACTTCCCCAAGCAGCAGCACATCCCCACGAGCTGGCAGCGCTGTCCTGACGGCATTGAACGCGGGTGGTGCAAGGACAGCCAGGCACTGTGCTGGAATGGGTCTCTGAACTAGGTCAGACCACCTGAGCAGGCGCTGCCCAGCCTCCCAGGGGCTCCCCCAGCCTCCTCCTGCAGCCAGCAGCAGGTCGCTGTGCTATTTAAGCAGTGTTCTCAGTTTTGGTGCCTACCTACCATTTGGTGGCCAAAGCTGCACATTCAAGTTAGGTAAGGAGAATCAAATTAGCCAAAGGAAATTGCTGTGACAGTTCAACCTAAGAGCATGCATCTCTCTGCCCTGTGCTGATTTCAGATCTGCAAAGACAAGGCACAGCCGTGGGCTCCAGCCACAGATGAGCAAGGGTGCACGCAGACAGAGCAGGAACCAGCTGCCAAGCCCAGGGAGGGCTTCTCTCATGTGAAATAAGTGCAGCAGAAGCACATTTTTCAGTTAATAGAAAATAAAGCAAGGATCAGAATGTGAAAGGGGAAAAAAAAAGCACAAGAAGTGGATCAAAATCTGACTACTGAGACTGCATGGAATCACAACAAAAAGCAGGCTCACAGCAAAGAACCAAACCTTTCATCAGAAGCCCAAAGGGACACAGGGATTGTTTCCACAAAGGTGGAAGTCTCCTTGCAGAGTCTTACAAAAACTGCTGCTACATCAGAGGAAGCTCCCATTCCCTAACCACATTTGGGTTATCCTGCATCATAAGCTCAGGAACAGCCCAGGAACCCTTCTGTCACCATCTTCAAGCAGGGCTGATGAGAAGAGGATTCCTCAGGGAGTCCTTTGCTGCACAAGAGCCAAAGCAGCAAGAGACCCAACAGCTCACAGCCAGCACTGGAGAAGCAACACCAGATACCTGCCATTTAACTCAGTGCTTACTTCCAAGTTGGGGCACAGGAGAGAGACTGCCCAACCACTTTCTTCCATTAGCATCAAAGAGCAACTACACACACTGCAGGAAAACGCACAAATATTGGCTGTGCTACACAAGAGAGGCAGCTGAGAAGCGTTCAAGATTGCAAGTGAGACATGGGATTTACAAGGCAGTATTGCCAGTGCTGTGGCAGTACTACATAAAGGAATTGCCAGAGCCTAGAGGCTAGAGTTTTGTGGGATTTTATTCTTTTTTTTTAATTATTATTTTTGTAGTTTTCTTTTTTTTTTTTTTTTTTTTTTTTTTTTTTTAATACAGGCTAGCGTTGTACCCTTTGCTAAAGCTGCTGATTCTGCCACATAAACTAGAACAGAAATTTCTCAGAAATTAAGTAGGATCCCCTTCTTGTTAATTCACTGTCTGCCTCCCAACTGAACATCGGTCTGGATTTGTGTTTGCAGAAAACATCCCCTGTACAAAGTCTGACGTGCACCTACACTGTTTTCACTGAGGAATGAAGAAGCCGAAAGTCCATTAACGTTGGATTTTCCCTGTACAACGTGGCCTGATTTGGAGTTTGGTCCACTGAGGACAGCGAGTTAACCATAGAGATCATCATCGTTGTCTTCACTGTACACATTGCCCCCGCTGCCACCTCCTGTGCCTTGGCTCGGCCCAGCGCCTCCCTGGTTACCTGATGGGAACCTGCACACAGCAGTGCGGAAGAGAAGAGATGCAGTTCAGAAGCCTTCCCACAGATCAGCACAATTCCCTCCCTCCACATCAACACCCTGATGCCAAGAAGGAAAAGGTCAAGAAACGCAGTGAAGTCTTATGGCAGGTCATAAAAAGGCTTACAGCGCTGCCAGATGTTGCTTGCTTTAAAGGAAAAAGGGTTGATGGGCTTCAGGAGCACTAACAGAGCAGCTGCAACTGGCCTGCAGTGCAGTTTGTACCCACCATGTGCTCAGCTGGCTGTAAACGCTGGGGAGAATGGGAAAAAGCAGTGGAAGAGGGATTGTTATCAGAGTACATCAAAACTGCCCTCGGCGCTCTGTTCCTGGGGTTAACCACCTCGCTCTGCCCTCCCCGCCTCCCTCCGTTACCTGAAGCTGCCAAAGCCGCGGCTCTGCTGCAGAGTCTGTGCAAACATCTCGTATTTCCTGATATCATTATCACTGACAGAGCGGCGAGCAAAGCGCATGGCCTCCTCAAAGTGATCCCTGCGTATCTCAGGAACCGGGTCATCCTCCTCCACTTCCTGCAGCAGGACGGAGAGCTGAGATGAGCCACGTGCAGCTCAGCACCTGCCCACACCTCCCTCTGGGTCAGGATGCATCAATACCCACTGAGACAGGGGCTAGAGGGGGATGCTGCAGCAGACTGACTCACAGCTGCTGCAGGGGCCTGCTGAGCAATGCCAGTGACGAGGCACCATAGGAGGCCCTCGCCCTCCCACAAGAAGAGAACAAAGTGCTCCAGCTCAGCACTCTGTGCCAAGAGCCTACAGCCTACTCGTCCTCATCTGAGGATTACTGAGAAAAACTCATCATCCCTCACCCACAGGCAGTGGGCTGCCTATCTCATAAGTAGGGAAAGCTCAGAGTGCCCCACTCACCATGGCAGAAGGGTTGGTCTGCCTCTCACGTTCTCGCCTGATCTCACTCTCAATGGACTCTCGGATGGCCAGTTTGCAGGCACGCTGGCAAATTTCTGTCAGGTCAGCCCCCGAAAAGCCATTGGTCATCTTAGCTAGGAAATCCAGGTCAACATCCTAGCAAAAACAAGCAAACAAAAAAAAAAAACAACACACCTCACAAGGAAAGCATTTACACCTTGTACTCTCAAATGACAAAGAGGTGCCTTAAGGCACTACCTTAACTTTGACCAGTATGAAGAAGATAAGCAGTTAAGGCTCATGTTCCTGGCAAAAGTATGCTACACACTAGGGCAGGCCACGCTTCCCCCCACACCCAGCAAGAACCTGTCACATGGCTACAAACGTCCCCCACTGCTCACTTTCAAGAAGGGGCAGGCTGACTTGACATTTCAGCTATAATTTGCTCAGATCTTAGCATTTGATATCACTGGACCAGTTTCAGTCTGGAAATGGAGATGGGGCAGAGAGAGATAAAGAGGAACAATCTTCTCCCTTCAACTGGCACAGTGGCACCAGAACCTCCTCCTAACAGCACTTAAAAAGTTAAGCGTGGCCTAAAGAAGTTTGTTCACTCGCTTTGCATCTGCTTTTCTCTGATAAATGCTATCGATTTCATTACTGCCTGCTCCCCAGGAAAGGGATATAATTCTTGTCTATGAAAGAGTTCAGCAATTAACTGCAATGGCTCCTCTTCAATTTCCATTTCCCACCCCCGTTTTCTACATTTACTTTTTCAGAGTACAAGAATCCTTTCCATCTTGCCATAACAGGCATTTCCCATTCCTGCACCGTGGGCAGAACTGTACTATGTGATAAAGATCTGCTGCGTTACACACTGCTATCTAGCTGCACTGATACTTAGTTTTAGATCTCGAGCCTATCCCTACCTCTTCACTTCCATTCTTCAGGGATGAAAGGTTTCCCAGCTCTGCACGTTGTGTAGCAGGCACCAACCCTCTCTCTGCCCCCAGCTCATGGGGAGTATGTGGAGCACATAGCAAAATCAAACCAGATACACATAGCACCTACCTTAGCAACTGGTGATTTCCTCAGGTTGGCCTTAAGAATAGCAACCCGGGACTTCTCGTCAGGCAGGGGGATGTAGATGAGTTGATCCAGGCGGCCAGGGCGCAAGATAGCTGGATCAATGATGTCTGGCCTGTTGGTAGCACCGATGATGAAGACGTTCTTCTTGGTGGACATTCCATCCATCTCTGTCAGGATCTGGTTGATGACACGATCTGCAGCACCACCACCATCTCCAATATTCCCACCTCGAGCCTTTGCAATGGAGTCCAGCTCATCAAAGAAGAGAACACAAGGGGCTGCTTGGCGGGCCTGCAAAGCAAAACAAATGATTAAATACCATCAAGCAAGGAGCACACTGGTTTCATACTAATCCTCCCCCTAGAATCAAAGCAGTTCATAAGAGCATCAGAGCACTGTCACCTCCTGGAGAGCTTGAAGGAGCTGCTTTAGAGCTGTCTCCTGCAAACAAACCCTCCATAAACTCTACTAATAACAAAATAATTTCCCCAAAGCTGGGATCACTGCGAACCAGACAGGCAGAAGGTGTCAGCTCTGATGGCTAGAGGGTAACTGCCTGTGCAAGAACTCTCCATTCAAGATCTGGGATATCACTTTGTTGTTTAAGCACTGGGTATTTAGATGCCGTGTGGAAGGGGGAGATCTAGTCACTGCCTTCAGCACCAAACATGAAGTCAGAGAGAAAAGGGAGCCACATGCTTCTTCAAGGTGTGCAGCGAGAACAGGTGCAAACTGCTGCAAAGAAAGTTTCAATTAGAAATAAGGAAAAAAATCCTTCGCAACAAGAGAGTTCAAACACTAGCACACAGGGCTACAGATGTCAAGGATTCTCCATGCTTGGCATGTGTCCAGAACTAATATACACGAGGTCCTATCATATGCAAACCAAATTTCCAAGTTGTCTCTGTGCTCTGGACAAACACTTGGAGCAGATGGTATCTGAGGCTCTTTTCCAACTGACTATTTTTTCCTCTCATTCTTCCTTCGACTTTGCTCTTTCAGCAGCTTCCCTGACCTTGTAAGAGGACTCCCACGGTAAACAAGACATGTACCTTCTGGCACAGGAGGTGACACTATCTACAGGGACCTGGGTCGTAGGAGTCAAACTCCTTTCTATGTCCTCCATACTGAAGAACAAGAACCTGTAGGATGCTTTGAACATCTGTAGTGGATATTACATGATGAGGTTTCAAAATAATTACTAGATATGTGGGGGATGTTTATGTCACCCTAATACTGGCCTCACTGCTAAGGCACTGGGACATTTGTCATCTGTAGTAACAGATACCAACTGTAGAAGGACAAATCCATTTACGTATCCAGCTTCCCAAAGAGAATTAAATCCCCAGCAACAGGAAAGCAGCCCCTGCTCACACTGCTAGTTGGAGAAACACAAAATACATAAACAATAACCAGGCCAGTTAAGACATTGCAGTCCCAGCACAGTGGAGACAGTATAGGGGGCATCTACGCACAAATACAGAACAGGGAGCAGAATAAACACCTACCTTGTCAAAGATCTCGCGCACATTGGCTTCTGACTCTCCAAACCACATGGTGAGCAATTCCGGCCCCTTGATGGAAATGAAGTTTGCCTGGCATTCATTGGCAATGGCTTTGGCCAGAAGTGTTTTACCACAGCCAGGTGGCCCATAGAACAGAACGCCCTTTGATGGAGTCATGCCAAATTTGAGGAACTTGTCTGGGTGCTCCACAGGATACTAAATTAGAACAATAACACAAAAACCTTAAAACGGACCGCAAAAGGCCTGTGCTTTGTTCCTACCAAAAAGAAACCCCAAAGAAGCAAAACAAACAAACAACAAAAAAAAAACAATTGAAAAAACACCCTCAGATTTCTCGTGAGTTAAATGCAGGATTCTGTCTGCTCAGGGCCACTGGAGTTTTTTAAATGGGGACTGGTTTGAAAAGCACCACAGCTAAACTGCAAAGTTGCCCTAAACAGTCCGTTTACTCTTAAGGACTCAACACTACAATTTGGGCAGTTTTCCAGCACGCTTAAACATAGCTTTGCTCTGCCCTGCAGAAGCAAAAGGGAACAAACAGCTCATCATCCAACCTAGTCAGCTCTGTCCTCCAGAGATAGGCAAGGTGTCTAATGTGAGCACTTATCCTTAGCAACAAGGTCAGATCTAGGCAATGACTGAACACCAGAAAATTAGACTAAAAATTAATGGGTTTTTGTTGTTGTTTGGTTTGTTTTTAACACTCAGACAAGGTGTCTCTGCAGTGCTAACTGAAAGCAGGAATGTATCAAAACCCAGGTATACTGATGCAGACACAAGAAGCTTCCACAGAGCACTTGTGACTTTGTGTCCCTTCATAGCATACTTCACTATTACTTCTCACCTGTCCCTATGCTAGCAGTGACAAAAAGCTCTTTGAAGGCTCAGTGCAAAGAATTTTCATTCACCTTCTGGCATATAAAGCCACTAATAAAGCATGATAAAACTCTCAGCAGTGGTCTCCACTTAAGCAGAACTATTGCTGATTCTGCACATAGCACAAGATACGCTAAAGATGTCACTGCAGACTCAACTAAGGAAAGCCTGACAGGAAAGTTGCTTCGCAAAACCTTCCTCTTCCTCCGCTCACTAACACAGAATATTAGGGTATTTTCAGTCCACTACAAACAATTACTCTAAAAATCTCAGCATTTCACAGCCCAAAACAGAATACTGAGATTCTTTTCACGCTGACTGGGCAAAAATCCGTTGGAAATCCTCACCTGTACAAGCTCCTGGAGTTCTCTCTTTACATCTTCTAGACCACCAATATCTTCCCAGGTAACCTGTGGCACCTCCACCACAGTCTCCCGAAGAGCAGAAGGGTTGCTCTGGCTCAGAGCCCACTGTTAACAGAAGAAACAGAACTGTATCATGTCATGATAAAACGTCTCAGATAATGCACCTAGAAGAAAAAGAGGCAGTTTTGCATTACCCTGAAGTCATCCATGGTCACAGCCAGCGAGTTCATAACTTCAGCATCAATGGTTTCATCTTCCAGGTCTATGAGATCCATCTTCTTTCTGATGGCCTGAAGAGCAGCTTCTGAGCAAAGAGCAGCCAAGTCAGCACCAACGTGTCCATGGGTCTCATTTGCCACCTGAAAGCAAAGCACTATGACTCACAGGGATACAAGCAAGTATTCACAAGGAAAGGCATGCTCTGGTCATTCATTCAGAGGTGCAGTGAAACTATGAAATACAGGAATGTCAGTGCTCCACTGTGGTTTTCAGGAACAGTACTACCACATATTTAACAGACAAAGACACTATTCTGCGCCCCGTCTGAGATCAAAGTTATAATTGGAATTCAGAAGGTATGCAGAAAGACAATCACAAAGGCTGGAGCTCTTCGCTCAGGATAGAGATTGCAGAAAAAAAAAAATGAGTGTCCCAAATCACCACAACATTCATATCCCTAAGAGCTGTTTTAAACTTACTTCATTTTTGAAGAGAACGCCACAACAAACACAAGAGGACAGTGGCAGTCCACGTGCAGATTCTACTGACACATGACTGCTTCACTCTGCAGTGCCATTCTTAACGAGCAAGAGAGGATTTTGGTCACTGCTAAACTAATTAGAAGAAAGCTCAGAGTCACACATCCACCAGTTTAAAGATGTGCTAAACGAGCAACTAACATTGCTGGTCAAAGCCATAACAGCTCTTCCACTATGAAACACTGCACAACGAACATTCACCTTTTCCAACATCATGCTGCTCACCTGTTCCAGATCCACATCATCAGCCAGTTTCATATTTTTCGTGTGGATCTGCAGGATCTCCAGGCGACCAGTTGCATCTGGGATACCAATATCTACCTCTCTGTCAAAACGACCTGAGGAATACAAAACATTAGTTATGCTACTGATTCTACACACCAAAGCAGCTGCAGTGACTGTTTTCTTCCGACTGAGCAACCTGACAAGCCATAATTTCAGAAAATGCCAGAGCTTTGAGTTTCTCTACAGCATCCTTCAGCATAGAGTCAGATCAGAGAAGGAGAGGCCTTAGCAGGGTAAGGAAAGTCTATGTTAACTAGAGTTCAGGATTACAAAACAACAGATTGCTACTGGTTTAGTAACTTTCTTCTGCATCATTTGCAGAAAAAGATGCTTCTCCAAGATATCACAAGACATTTTTGTTTATTCCTATCTCTGTGTCCTGAGCATAAGAACTTGAGAGAACAATTTACCTTTTCTGAACCTTTTAGTACTCATCATACCAGTACTCAAGCAGTGAAATGCCAAAACCTAACATGGGGAGGCAGAAAGCCTACATGTTACTGAAATACTAACTGAAATACATATGTCTATCATTAGCCTCCAGTAATGCCTCTGCAGACTGAAGATGCCTTTTTGTCCTGTAAACTAGACTGGCTTGCTATTACAGTCTTCACTGCTTGTATACCAGACATTCAATCACACCGCAGAGCTTTGGAAACCCAGATCTTGGAAACTACCTGACTCCTCATCAATAAAAATTAAGAGAAGCCAGAAAATTGTTCTGCAGCCTGAGGCATGAACATCCTTTCAAGAAGCCATTTACTCCTTCAAGCTAGCCTCAACTAAGAAAGGCTACTACTAGATTTCAAGTATTCTGTTATTTCCATAAGACTAGAAAATTATAGCAAAGCCCAGAATCCTAGAAGTTAACCTCAAACAAGCAGTCCGAGACAAATCGCAATCAACAAACACAGAAAAGGTTTAATATTAAATTTCAGTCTTTTCAAGGTGCCTGAAGCATAGCCTGTAATAAAGTATCTGACAGACAAAACAAGATAAACCAGTTACCAAATCGCCTGAGTGCTGGGTCAATGCTGTTAGGTCTGTTGGTAGCTGCCATAACAATCACATGTGCTCGCTGTTTCAGCCCGTCCATAAGAGTCAACAGCTGGGACACTATGCGACGCTCCACCTCTCCATGCGTCTGTGGGGATGGAAAGCAATGATCAGACTTAAAACTCCTCAGCACAGCACAGGTATTAGTGCTGCACCACAGCAGACAGAAACTAGAACCACCAGCTGCTTAGAAACATTGTGCATGACACACAGTTTCTCTCAGGTCCAACTGCTGCCTTGCCCTATACTCAGAACACGGAGATTCATGCCAGTTGCTACCAAAAAGGGTGTACAGCTGCATCTTAAGCTCCCAAACGCTATTTTTACCTTCTCTCTTTTCGGAGCAATGGCATCCAGTTCATCAATGAAAATGATGGCAGGTGCATTCTTTTCAGCTTCTTCAAAGGCTTTCCTCAGGTTGCTCTCAGACTCACCGGCCAGCTTGCTCATGATCTCAGGACCTGAAAAATAGCAGCACTGTGGCACCCAGAAGAGAAGCAGCCAGCTCCAAGGCATGCAGCTGAATTTTTTCAGTACAACATTCACATGGGAGTATCTATATTTCAAGCCAAAGCAAACACTATCAACCAAATTCACTAAATTTGCAGCTGAACAGGCAAGAACAGCATGCGGAATTACTTTCTATCGTTACTCCGGTGTCTTCAGTTTACTCTAACAGAATGCAGTACTTGACTACAGTGAGCTACCTTTAGCTGCCTCTTTTCTTACCCTATTTCACACTTGGTGAGCTTCTCTGTAATGTGCCACCACACACTTAATGCCAGTCCTAGCTTGCGAGAAAAGCAATCAAATTATATGGTGATGAATTACCAGAGTAGGGAAGGAAAAAGCTGTAAGATACCGAAACTGTCTTCAGCTTGTTTTACACAGGTCAGCATTTACCTCTGTACCACTTTATAAATAAGCTCCAAAACAAAACAAACAAGTCTGAACAAAAAAACGCATACACAACCAATAAAAAAGACCAAACCCACAAGCAAACAGCCAAAAAAGCACCCCATGCAACCTCCCCCCAGAGCATGAATTCATAAAAATACCAACACATCAATTCCAGAAAGGACAGCAATCCCTGAGACTTCCTACAATTGCTAAACTCTAACACTTAATCCAATTTGTTTAGGTTTTTTCCATCATGATGATGGGAGTGATCAAGAAGACAAAGTATGCTTCTTCAGAAGGATCCAAGGAAAAGAAACCTGACCCTCAGGAGTGTAAAGCTGCTAGCTGAGTGAAGTGCTCTAGCTGCAGAGCCACTGGTGCAGGCAGGTACTGTTTCACTTCAGGTAACTTGTCAATTCACACCAGCTCTGTCTACTGCCTGCTACTTCAGTTTTGGGATGAGCAGACAGCGCATCACTAATCCTGACAACAAATGCCATTTTTATGATGCAACAGAAGCACAAGTCTGTGAAGACCAGCTTGTTATCAGCTCATACACTTAGGAAGTATAAGACAAGGGCAACGTGTGCGTAGAGATGTCCATTTACTTCTGACATCTTCAAATAAAAAGCAAGTTAATTCACTACCACAGGTCACTCCCATGACATCCTGAGATAAAAAGCACATACTGCTGCTCTCTGCTATGCTTTCACCTTCGTGGGTCTCATTAAAATCATAGGAGAGAGGAAAAGCAGCAGTTCTCAAATACAAACATTCAGTTATTGTAGCACTGATTGTAAAATGGGAGAGAAGAGTACTGAGGAAAATTCAGAATTTTGTCTTCAGAGTGGACATAAACTAGTACCTATCTATCTCAACTGCTGTTAAGTGATAATGATTAGCATGAGGTTCTGCCATTTGTAGCTAAGTTCCAAGGTGCACATTACAGCTTTCAGGAAAAGTTCCTCCCAACTAAAGAAAAGTGAAAGAAAACAGGTCTTGTACTTTATTTGAAGGGAAGATAAATGCAATGCAGAGTAGCTTCTCTTATGAATAAAATATGCTGGCAAAAAAAAAAAAAAGTGTTTACACCCATATACATGGAATAATCTCACTGCTTCGCTCCTAGCTGTGCCCCTACAACATAAATGAACACTCAGACAGACTGTAAGTTGCTGCAACGCAAAGCTGCCTTTCAACCACTACACTTAAATACAGTGCCACTACAGATTCTTCGGTACAAATGGCCTCTAAGCAACTCTAGGGGGGCACCTGAAAGAGGTAAGCAAGGACAGACATCAAGGACACAGTGTACCTACATAAGTCTTATTTAAACCATTCATTACCATTAGCTGGATGAATGATTACATGGCAGATCTTGGTCCAAAGCAGACCCAAAACTTACCATTAATCAGGAAGAAGAAAGCCCCAGTTTCATTGGCCACTGCTCGGGCAATCAGTGTTTTGCCAGTGCCAGGTGGACCATATAGCAGGATTCCCCGTGGAGGCTAGGAAAAGAGAAAAGGGATTTAGGTGGTAAACTAGTATCAGAATGCCTAAGAATCTTCACAGTGAAATTCCAAGCATTTGATAAAGTCAGTCTGAAATGATGATGCAACCTCATGCAACAGCTGCTACGCTACCATCAACACCCTGACTACTTTGCATGACACACAAACAAAAACCTCGCCAGTAACCAACAGTGCTTATTCAAAACATCGCTCTGTTTTGCAAGTGCCACTGCTTCAATCTGTAAAACACGTAAGGAAATTCTCCCCTAATACCAGCATTAAAAAGGAAGACACACAACACACAAGTTATTCCTCTTACTTATTCCCCTCCAGTACACCCTAAGCCTCCTACACAATGAGCCATCAGTGTAAGCGAGACCACTCACCCACCTGATGCACACAGGTGCTTACCTTCACCCCTATGGCCTTGAAGAGAGCAGGATGTCGGAGGGGAAGTTCCACCATCTCCTTGATCTGAGCCAGCTGCTTCCGGCAGCCACCAATGTCATCATAGCCCACCTCATTCAATGACTCTTCTTCATCCTACCAGGAAGGAAGCTTATCAAACACTTCAGAGAAAACAATAGTTCAACAATCCCTCCCCAGATCCAGGAGTCTGGGCTTTTGCTCAGTGTCATTTCTTTGTCGTTTTGAGAATCTCATTTCCAAGTCTTTCTCACATCTCACATTTGTTTCTTAGCTCTGACTACCCAAACATTCAATGGCAATTGCCTGCCACAGGAGGTATCCCAGAGAACCCCTATAGAGACAGGGTCCATCCCAGGGACCCCCACAGGGTGTTCTCAGCAGAACCCACCCTGTTGGACAACACCCTGAAGCTAAAAAACTGAAATGTCCTTGGCTCTGCACAGTGTTTTTCAGCAACAACTAACATCAGTATGTTATCAACATTGTTTTCATCTTAAAGCTAAAACGTAGCACCATACCAGACACAGTGAAGAAAATCAACTCAGTCCCAGGTGAAACAAGGACACTGTAACATTAGGCCACTCAAAAATCATAAACATCAGGTGGAATCTTACAGGGGCTCAAACGCTCACCAAGCCTGTAACACTATTTCAATACGAGACTGTCCCTGACAAGTGCTGAAGATCTCCAGGGATGGAGATTCCTGATCTCTATAGGCTCTGCTCTAGGCTTCAGGGAAATCTTTTTCCTCTTGTCTGCCAGGAACTTCTCTTGACTCAGCTTGTGCTACTGCCTCTAGTCCTGTCCCTGGGCACAGCTCTCAGTAAAGTCAGGTTGCCTACACCTTTCACAGAATCACAGAATCACCCGGGTTGGAAGGGACCTCAAGGATCACATAGTTCCAACCCCCCTGCCTAGCAGGGCCACCAAACGTACACATTCAGATCAGGTTGCCCAGGACCCCGTCCAACCTGGCCTTGAACACATCCAAGGACGGGGCATCCACAACCTCCCTGGGCAGTTCCAGGGCCTAACCACTCTCCTTGTGAAGAACTTCCCCCTAACATCCAACCTAAATCTTCCCTCCTTCAACTTGGATCCATTTCCCCTAGTCCTGCTGTTGTCAGCCCTTCTGAAGAGTTTACTCCCCTCCTGGGTGTAGGTTCCCTTCAGGTATTGATAGGCTGCAATGAGGTCATCCCGCAGCCTTCTCTTCTCCAGGCTGAACAAGCCCAACTCCCTCAGCCTGTCCTCATAGGGGAGGTGCTCCAGCCCCCTGATCATCTTAGTTGTCCTCCTCTGGACCCTTTCCAAAATCTCTCTGTCTTTCTTGTGCTGAGGGCTCCACACCTGGACGCAGTACTCCAGATGGGGCCTCACAAGAGCCGAGTAGAGAGGGACAATCACCTCCCTCTCCCTGCTGACCACCCCTGTCCTGATGGAGCCCAGGATCCCATTTGCCTTTCGAGCTGCCAGAGCGCACTGCTGGCTCATGTTCAGTCTCTCGTCCATCAGGACCCCCAGGTCCTTCTCTGCCGAGCTGCTCTCAAGGCCCACTCCTCCCAGCCTGTACGGGTGCCTGGGGTTCTTCCGGCCCAAATGCAAAACCTTGCACTTTGCCGTGTTGAACCTCATTAGGTTCACCCGAGCCCAGCTTTCCAGCCTGTCGACCTTTCAACCCTGCCAGCAGGCCTGCTGCTTCACCTTTCCTACTCTAGGCCACATAGGTCCACTCTCCCAGCCCCATCTCATTTCTTTTGACCTCCAGCTCGTCATTATTTTGGTAACCTTGGCTGAACCTGCTCCTGTCTGCCTCTGTGGTGTCCTAATGAGCCCAAGGAGGACTCATTCAGTGTCCAACAACTGTTAGACAGAGAGGGAAGCTAACCAGAAAACAGCACTCAATCTGATTTGCAGCTAGTTAAAAGGCAGTCATGTCAAATTACTCCTATTCCCGAGATTTCCTATTCTATAAAAGTAAGGTGGCCTACTCCTGACAGACCAGCCACTTAGGCTGCCTTAAACTTTGGATGTCCCAGGTTAGATATCTCAAGAGCTTGAAATAAAGGAACTCTGGAATTAAATGATGCATTTAATGTCCATAAATTCCACTTAGTGCCCAGCACTAGATATCTGGAAGCAGATGCAAAACCAGCTGCTACCAAATTATGGCCTAGGCATTAGTGTAATCTCAGTATCTGAGGAAGGACAGTGGAAGCACATTTCTCCAACCATTGCCAGCAGCAGCTCATCCCCTGGATACAGAGCTTCCAGCATTGCATTCAACACACAAAATGCCATTCCCAGAGCTGAAAGCATTATCACAGAAAGAGATTTTACACGGCAGACTGGAGTCAGTACAAGAACTGTGTGCAGGATCCCGCTCACCTCTCGTTTGATGGGCTCTCCCTCGCAGTGGATCACGGTGTCCGGAGCCACTATGCAGTAGGGGCTTGGATCTGTCTCCACCACTTTGAACTCCACTGCACGCATCCCTCCACGCACCAAGAAAATGTCACCTGTGAAAACCCACAATTCAGTACCCTGTTGCAACTGACATCTGCAAATGTCCATCCCTGTACTATCCAGCAGCCTCAGAGGACAAGGAAATAGGCTATATATGCATATGCCACTGGCATTTTTCATACTGCTCTGTATTTCAGACTCAAGAGCTGCAAATACTGTGACTGTCAGGACATCATTCAGATTTGCAGCAGTTTAATTTTCTCAAATTTCATGCAGAAACAAACAGAAAACAACAGAAAGGAATGCTCCAACTAAATACCAAACAATCAAACATAATTATCATATTTATTGTCCATTCAGTTTCAATTTAGCTTTTTTAGGACTCTTTTTGTTTACCAGAAAAGAAAGAGCCCTTTAGATTCTGTTTAGAAAAAAAAAATAAACAGGCTAATAATAGGGTTCAAAAGAAAGATGTTCACGTTTTTCTCTGATGCCTTTAGAAACTAGCTATCAATTTACAAATGAGCTGCCTGCTTGCAGTGTATAGCCCAAGGGACAGTAGGCAGCACAACTGCAAGTGAAAATTCGTGAGACAGGAAAAACCAAAGGCAGACTGAAATGGTGTGCCAGCCTGAGCAACCAAAGGTTTTCAAGAAATACACAGAGCAACATGAGACTCAATCCCAAAAAGGTTGTTTCTTTACACAGCTCCCCAACTGCCCCACTTTGACTCCCAGTGCCTTATGTCTGAGAACAGCAACTGCAGGCCGTTTCACTAGAGAAATTCACTTCAGCGACCATCTGTACATTGCTTTTGCCACTACTGCTCCAACCAGGTGACTTCCTGGAGTGGCCATTCCAGCCCACACAAGGACGTGCAAAGATAAGCCCTGAATGTCCTATTACAGCCTACTGGCTCAAAGAACGAATTCTATCCAGAAGCAGTGAGGGAAGGGACAAAAATCTCTAACGTAATAAAAAACTTTGAATTTATCTCAGGAAGTTGTTACTAGTTGCAACAACTGCTTGTTTCTAGAAGCAGAATAATATGTTATTAAATACAACTCCTGACTGAATTGGGCCACAGAAACTGGAAAACTTTATTCAACTTGCACTTGATATACTTCATAATACTGTATTAGGACGTACTCGTTCCAGCAGATGTGCTACTGGTATTGCTCTAAAACTGCAATTGGCTTTCTAAGCACTCTCTCAGTCATTAACTGATTTTGAAGAAGTGAATTTAATGAAAGTGTCACCTGGTATATCCAACCAATTGCTTAATACAGAAGCAAAGACCCAATCCTCTCAAATTATAGCAACTTAGTTTAAGATTTTCTCCCAAGTTCTACCCAAGCTTTTTATTTTTATTTTCATTTTTTTTTAAACATACTCACACTCTGCGTAGCAAAAAAGATGAATATCAGTATCAGTAAAATCTCACTCTAAAGATGCCAGTCTGATGCCTTGCAAAGATCTGTCCATAGAAATCACCTTTACTCAGTCTCAGGACTACAGCACATAACCAGGATATCAATAACAAGTGCTGTTACCTTTCCTGATTGGTCTGTATGCTTCCAAGAAGTATGGTTTGAGATAGACCTCAAAGAGATTCCCCGTGATTCCTTCTACTGTGTCATCGATCGGCAGCACGTGGATACGTTTGCCATACTTCACATCTGGACAGGGTTGGATGCTGCAACAGAAGAAAACATCAGTTGGCCACATCACCCTGGACGTACACATAGGTCTGAAAAAGGCAGTGGTATTTCTTCTCAGGCCGGTACAACTCCCAGAAAGGACTATACAAATCCTTGCTGAGACTTCCCACCTTCCTAAGAACATTTAAATGCTGAGGAACAAAACACCCTAGAGAGCTCGTCTACACATCACACCTTCCTTCATTCCATCCAACCCTGCTGGGAGTTTCATACTTTCTTCCTGCTCTTCCACCAGGATGTCCTTCACTAACCCAAAATTCACAAATTACTAGAGCAGAAAAATGACCTGCAGGAGTTACAAGCTATTTTTTGTTTCAATAAGGAACTAGCTACAGCTGAACCAACTGTAGGGAAAATGGAGATGCGGGTACCTTTTCTCTTTCATCTCTCTCTTGTAAATTACCACAAGGAATCAGAGCCTCCTGATACACAGCAAAGGTTCTCAAAGTACCAGTCAGTGGTAATCAGCTTGCAGCCAGGCATCCATCCATATGATATCCCACTTTTCAGAAACTGAAGCTTAGGTGGAAGTCCTAAGGCCCTTTCTCCCATTTTAAATAAACACTGCAACTATCATTTTACAGTATAGGTGTGTAGGCCAAAAGCCCGCTGTAGTGACAGCTGCAGGTGAAAAGTAGAAAGCTCAAACTGGCTTTGCCTGCTTAAGAAAAGCCTACATAGAATTGCAACTGACTGCACCATTTTTCATGCACTACTTTGTTACACACTCTTTGCAGATACTTTCAACATAGGCTTTACAAAGATGACACAGCAAAAGAGTAGAGGAAAAACCAGACTGCCCCAGAAGGAAAATAGTTTATGGATCACAAGCAGGAAGCATTTAGTACATGAATCTGGATTTTGATAGAGGCTAATCTGCAGAAAGCAATACAATAAGTAATTAAATATCAGCAATAAAAACTTACAGGGCAACAAATGTGGAAGTTTTCTGACTGCTGCAACAACACTATTAACTGATTTATAGGGTTGAGAACTACCACAGACACAGTCCCATCAGAAAAGCTGAACTGTTACACTAGGAAAGACTTTGAAAGTCTTTAGATAAGGTTACCCCTTATCTAAAATGAGCATTCACCTTTACTTGAAACAAACCATGTCAGAGGACTATCCTGTTCCACACAGGGTACTCTTTAAAATTTGAATTTTCTAGTATTAGAGAGATAGGTGATATAGCTTCACCTCTCTCCTCAACAAAGTTTGTATGAAACAGTTTGCATGTAAAAGTTATGCCAGTTAACACCCTGGAAGTACAGTGCCAGGCTCCAGTTTTCCCAGAACATGTAGGAAATTGCAAGTTAGGAAGATTCTCAATTGTGGAACCGTCAGCCTTCCCATATTTAAGCCTGCATATAACACTTCTGCGCTACCAAAGTGCACACCTGGCATTCCCTAGCTCCTATAAGCCAAGATGTGCTTGACACAATGTTATCTCAGAACCCTCTCCAAGTGTTGCACAACAAAATTATTCCTGCAACATTTTCAAATAATTCCTAGGTATAAAGTCACTTTCAGAACAAAACCTGAAAATTAGACATTCGGAATATAAACATATTCTGAGATCTTTTAATCTACACTGCTTCATGCTTTTTATATCCATCCCCAGCACATTTGAACACTTGTATGTCACAAGGCAGCTGGGTTCTTAAGCTAGATACTGTGAGATAGGTTACAATATTGTTTGATGCCTTCCATTGTTATTCATATAGACATAAAAAAAACCCTAGAATTTGCAAGTTCATCTGACAAAGTAAACTTGGGATCATTGAACTACCCAATTTAACTACAGGAGCTACGTTTGTGAAAGAGCTAATAGACATCAAGAATCTTTATCATCAATTTTCAGTATTAATCTGAGTGTGTACACAGTCAGAAACACGTGCAAAAGTCAAGTCAGATCCCTGATGGAAGCCACACACTTGGAAACATTTCAGAGGTTTCTTCTAAAAGATACAAAAATAATTCCTGCAAGCTTTGTCTCTAAATTCAGAGCCAGTACACAAATTACGTAGGCAACTAAGGCACACGCACGTGTTAGCAAGCCAGTCCCCACCTGATCACATCACCCAGGCGCACTCTCAGGTTGTTGCGAACAACCCTATTCATGCGAATCTTCTCATCGGAGCAGGTATCATCTGACAGAACAATGCAGACTGCTTCTCTCCTCTTCTTTCCTTTTAGGAGAACAGTGTCTCCTCTGAACAGCTGCAATTCATCCATTTTTGCCTGTTAACAGTAAGAACATTAGGACAAGCCTTTGATAAGACAAGAATTCAAGCATTTGAACGCAAGTCACTTGACCTTGGTGAATTATGGAAGTGACGTACTGAAGCCACAAAGACACTGGATCTCACTGCATAGATCAAGAGCTAATCCTGAAACCAGACCGAGGGCGTAAACTCAACTGAATCTTAAAAGTTCATGGTGAAAATCCATTTTTATTCTGCTAGAGTGCTAGAAAACAAGACAGTCCATCTCCCTCACTTGTAACAGCTGCAGTTTCTAATACAAACATTCAGATTCAGGCTGCAAAGTTAAATTTCAAGTTAATACACAGCAGCTGTTTATGTATTATCTACATTAGTTTTTTTGTTAATAGATGACACACCTGGGACAGTGATACAACACTGTTGTCTTCATTGATGGCTTCATCAACAATTAACCGATTGGGCCTGTTCTTCTGCTTCAGAATAGCAGTCGATAAGTCATCTGCTTTAGAACTGGTGAAGAAAACAGAAGGACTGAGTTTAAGTGATAACACTCCTCCCTCTGCAGACACCCCCCTGCTTTGGTTTCCATTTTCTACATATCACCGTATCTTTTAGAATCTATACATGTTTGTAAAATAAAGGAGAATGTTATTCCCAAGCACCAGTTTCAGGTGTTCAACGACAACATTTCCTGTGAGTAAACATTAAGTCAGTCCCAAATGGAAATGGCTATAAAGTTATCTATGAAAAGAAGCGGTCACTGAGATGTTGCTGACAGTGCTTTCCCTAAAAGAATTACTCACTCATCTGCAATCACATGTAACCACTGCCACTGAAACAAAAGTTTAAGTCCATCTGGTGTCCAATCCCAGATAAACGGGGGAATTAAAGAACAATGCCACAGCTACCCTGACAGGAAGAGCTGGTAGGAGTTCTGCCTGTCAAGGTCTATTAGTTAAAGCGAGCAAGCCAGTGAAATTATCAAGAGCTCATTAAAAACTGTTGGTTTTTTGTTTTTTTTGTTTTTTTAAGAATCCTTCTGTAATATCTTCATAGAAGTCTCTGAAGCTCTAGCACACTACACCACAAGAAATACAACAGAAAATGGTTTGCTTGACTTTGTCAAGGCAAATAGAAATAGTAAGGAAATGAAAGAAAGGCAGATTAATACACTTTCTTAAAAAGAAAAAAAAAAAAAAAAAAAAAAAAAAGAAAAGCACAATTTGGAGCCAACTGATTCCTGAGGAGCTCCTGGACTTGTACTTCAGCCAGACAAAAAAGCAATATGGTTGTAACTTCCCTCAACAGACATCTGACTACTTTTCTCTGAGTTGTTCAGATGTGCCAACATCTAAGGTCACAGAAAATAATGCAGAGTTCAGCTTGATTCTGACAACAATAACAAAAATGCTTTTCTCTGTCTTGAGCAAGCAGCAAAGAGCAGGCAGCTCTTTGTGGACAACCGTGTTGGCTCCATTTAGCTCGTGAGGGACAAAATAACCGGAAGTCAAACCTTGAGTGGAAGCAGAATAACAAGCACTGCTCAGTACGAATGCAGCATGCTGCAAGATTAACTGCGCTTAACAGGGTCACTGCATCTTGAGCAGCATATCAGAAAGGTCTGTCATACCTTGTCTACAGCGTGACGTCACCCCCACACACTCAAGACAGAAGTTTTTCCAAGACAAACTTTGTGGAGCCACCTCTTTTCCCTGACACTTAGAGAGGGACAACAAGCAGCAGCCAGGGAGCGCAGTCAGTGGCTTTCTAAAAGATCTTCAAGCTTTGCATAAGTCCCAGTAGCAGAGGAAACATGTTGCAAATGACAGGGAAGCGAACAAAATAAGGAGTTGTAAAACATGTTTTTCCAGGACTGCGAGCACTGGGCAAGTCAGTTTTTTCCCTTTCTTCATTCATGTGCAACGTGTAAGAAATGAATATATCCCCCTTTCAAACGTTGTGCAAAATGCTCCAAACCCACTCTCTAAACCCAGTGGGATACAAGAAAGGCTGCTGTCTACAAGCAGGAAGAAGCCCACAGCTGCCATCTTCAAGGGAAAACGCGGTCTCGGCAACGTCCTAAATAGGCTGGGACTTACACACACAGAAACAAAACAACCCTAACTGAGAAAACTGGGACCAATATGCCACCAGGCCAGTAGTCAAAACAGCAAACAAATAAAGTACTTTGTTTAGCATAAGCACCTGGGCAAAGGAAATTATTTCAGTAGGTGCACTGCAAATCTCAAACTAGGGGACACCAGACAGCAACAATACCTCTATTTAGTCTGTTCAAGTTTGAATGCAAATCATACTCCTCCATACATCAGACCGGATCCAAAGGCCTTTTGATAAGAAACCATTGGCAGACTTTGGCTGCATAAATTGTCATTGAAACTGAGTAACTATCTTTTGGGATGCAGAGATTATTATGCAGCCTAAAATACATGCCAGGACACAAGATAAAATGGAAGAGAAATTGGGCAGCAAGTGAAAAGTTTCTGACCAAAGCTTTCAATAAACCAAAAGCTGCATAAAAGCTGAGGAGAAAAAGCGCAAACACTTTGCAGTACACAGCAGTGAACAGCACAGCAAGAGGTACATTTAGCTCTGCTGAATGCGAGGAGAAAGTTTTGGTACCAAAGAACTGAATCTGCAGTTTCCTAGGTAAGAAGCAAGCGCTGAATCAATGCTATCATTACATTACGGCACCTAGAGCAATCGAAGAAACTTGGAAGCATTAGAAAAAAAATCTAGAGGAATCAGCATACACATATCTAAATGTCTGGGGTCTAATTATAGTAGTTATAGTTATCCAACCTAATTGTTGTGCAAAAAAAGAAAAATAAAGGTTTTAGGAAATTACACGACAGTCACACAGGAAAGTGCCAGCTCTGACAGACAAGTGTTGCCCTGTCTTTCAGTTACAACTCAGAATATCACCATCACTACTTGTTTTTGTTCTACTCTCCTGGGGGCTTCTCAAGCATTAACTGAAAAGACAGAACAAAATGTGCCCCTCAGAAGGAGAGCCCAAACTGAAATACTAAGCTGGAAACCTATGACATGCATTGTGATCCTCTTCTGCCAGCCCTCCTATGTGTGCTGGTGAACTCCAGTGAAGTGCCAAGACAGACACCTGGCCTGAGTAACTTTTAATGCTCCTCTATGAGTTTTCTGCCAGAGAGAAACTGCAACATCTTCAGATCACCTCCCCCACTCACCCCTATTGTCAACTCCCTCACTCATTTTCTCTCTCACTCCTTTTTTACAGGTAGAGAGGGGCTTCTAAAATATTTCCACACTTCTAACATTTTTCTGTGCATCAGAGCACCTTTGTTCAGCAGACAGTAACACCCAAAGGCTGTAAATTATGGCAGACAACATGAAGCAAGCAGAAAATAATCACTCGTTAGCCATTCTCCTGAAAAAAAAAAAAAAAAAAACACTAAAGAAAAGAAACAACTAAAATCACAAGAAATCCTGATGAACTAGGGAACTAATACATTCCTGTAAGTCCGTGGCAAATACATAGTGAAAGGTCACTGACTCAAGATGGCTCCAATTTCAGCAATGAAAGTGAAAACAGACATGCTTTCTGGAGGCTGCTGGGCTTTTTTATTAACATCCTTCTGAGACAAACCTGTCAGTAGCTTCTTACTATCCTGAGCCCAAACATCCACGATACAAATGGAGCTGCTTTCCCCAGGTAGATATTAAAAGCCATTTTATCCATTAAAGCAAATGAATGGCATTTCAGATGACTGCAGCCACTTACTGGAACAGCACAGGACGACCAAGCAGCGAGTTCAAAGGCACGCTGAAGATGAGCCAGACAGGTACACAACAAAAATCTCTCAAGAAACCACACTCTGTTAGCTCGTGCAGTGCTAAAATTCAACAAGATGGTTGCCAACAGCACTGAACTAAAAACTGTGGCTAAAAGGCAACTGTTCCTTACTTGAGTAACTTTCTATGCGGTGAGAAAACTTCGCAAAAGGAAAATATGTCTTTTTCACTCAGCTAAAAAATAGTTCTATTAGACTATCATCTTCATCACAAGCTCTACCACAGATGCTGAATTCTTGGCACACCTTCAAGGAACTGATTTAGCAGGACCAGGTCTAAATTTCAGGAGTTGCAAAAGAAAATCAGAACACAAACAACAGACACTAAAGTGACCGAAAGTGCCTCTGGCAATGCCACGGAGTATTTCCGGATTCAGGGAATCAGTTCGGGCACCGTCTTTACTCATTTGAAGAGCCAACCCAGCGGTGTGAGCACGTGGGATGGAAGCTGTGGGACTGTTACTGCCCAGCTCATTTTTGAGAAGCGTGAAAGACGATCCTCAGCCCGGAACCGAGAGCGGCGCGAGGCAAAGGCACGGGAGATGAAAATAGAGCGGACCGCCTCAGCTGCCGCGGGGTCGGCCCGGCACAGCACAACACGCCCGTCTCTCCTCACGCCGAGTCACTTGCCAGGCCGCGGCCACGGCCCCAGGGTGGCTCGGAGCTCGCGGGAAGGAGAGCGGGCCGCGGCTCTGCCCCTCTCGCCGGCCGCTCCACCGCTTCCTCCGGGTCCCGCGAGACAAAGCGCCGCCCGGCCGCGACCCAGCGCGGGCGGGACAGCGGGGTGCGGCGAGAAGGCCCAGCCTCACCTCGCCGTGACTCGTCGCTTCCCGGGCACGGACGGCGGGAGGGGGCGGCGAGGGCCCCCTGCGGGCACGCGCCCGGCCGGGAGCGCGAAGAGCGGCCCACCCTCCTCCCCCGGCCCCGCCTCCGCCCGCTCGGGCCTGCATGACACAGCGAGATCGGGAGCCGGAGCCGGGCCCTCGCCGCGTTCTGAACGGCTCGGCCCGGCCCGGCCCGGCAGCGCCGCGCTGTGCGGCGCCGAGGCGAGGGACGGGCAAAAAGGCCGTGCCGGGCCCAATGCCTGAGCGCCGGGCCTAGGCCGCGGCCTGCCGGAAGGAGTTCACACTTACTCGGATCCCGAGGCCATGGCGCTGAGGGGAAAGGGGCGAGGGGAAGCGCGCGACGGCGGCTCCTCAGAGCGGGCGGCGGCGGCGGACGCGGGTCTCGGGGCGGGCTCGCGGAGGACGCGGGTCGGGGCGCTTCGCGCTGACTGAAGCTCAGAGCCGACTCATCGGAAGGGGGAGCTCCGCCCCGCCCCGCGCCTCCTCACCTGCCTAGCAACAGCATGCGCTGGCCAATCGGAAATTCCGCCCCGCGCGGAGCTCGGCCAATAAGAAAGCGAATAGAAAGGGGGGGGGGGGGGAAGAAAAAAGAAAGAGCGCCCTCTGTCCTTCTCCCCGCCCCTTTCCTTTTCACCTCCCAATCGTCACTAGCCAAGCGCCACAACGGTCAGCCAATCGCAGCGCTCCTCTGCCGCGGCCGCTCTACCAGACAACGCGGGCCGGGCAGCCAATAGCAAAAATCCGCCAATAGGAAAATCCAGGCGGGAGCTCCCTCCCCGACAGCGACCCGCCTCGCTTCACCGTTGGCTAGCAGCTGAGCGGAGAGACACGGAGTACGAGCGCTGCAGCCAATCAGAAGGGCGGGAGCTGGTGACTGACAACTTGGCGAGCGTCGCTGGTGCGATGACCGCGCACGGGCTCTGCCGGGCGCTCCGTGCGTGGGCGAGAGCGTGGGGACGCGCCGGCGAAGGGAGGGTGCTTTGGTTTTGTTATGCTTTCTCCCAGATTTAAGGGATCTGAGGACAGTTCTGGAAGGTTTGACTCCGTGGGTTGTGACCCCTTCGAGAGGCACTGCACACCATCCACCTCCATGCACCCCAGCACCTTCCAAAGCTCTAATTTGGCTCCTGTGCTCCCCATTCCCTCTCGGGGGTAGCAGGAGCACAGCAGGAGCCCCATTGCAGCCCCACGGTTACACTAGAGGCCAGGAGAGCAGCCCTGGGTCTCAGTTGCTTTTGCTGGCTCATGCACCACACAGGAGGTCAGAGCTCCAAGCCACATACTTGAGCTTCAGTCACTTTTCTAGGCTGTAGTGACTGAGCAAAAAAGCAAACATACAAAACACAGGTAAAACAGGGCATCTGACAACCCTTTATTTTATAAGAATGTCCAGCTTTGCCATCAGCTCCTTGCAGCAGGGAGCACAGAGCAGGATTCATCATGGTACAGCAGCACAGCTGATGTTAACTCCAAAAGAGCAAGGGTATCTCCACTCATCTCCCACACTCCCAGGACATATTCCTCAGGCTCACAGCTGTGCCAGCAGTATCAAGACCATGATCTTCACTGTGAGAAAAGAAGTCCCAGAAGAATTTACATAAATTAAATAGATCTGAGGCTGTCCTTCTGTTTCAGACTTTTGGGAAACCACCTTCGTCCAAAAGTTGCTTTGAGTCTTGCAGGAGTCCTTAAGGACCTCATGCCACCCTGGAAGGCTGCAAAACTGGAAAACTTCAGCAGGTGGCAATGAGTAGATTGGACTATCTTGACGAATCCTGCCTTGTGGTCCTGAGGTAATCCTGTATGCATCTAGCAAGAGATTCATTCTTTGAAAAGGTTGCCTGCTTCAGACATGAGTCCAGGTACAAAGGGAAGGACCTGAAAGAGAAGAGAGTGTTGCAGCCATAAGATCTGTGACATTCCCTCACCACAGTCTTACTATACTAGAAAGTTCACTCCTCCTGCACTGCATAAAGCCCCCAATTCTCACCCCAGCCTTTACTCTCCCATTTTGCCATCACAAAACAAGGCTTTAGCTCTATATCTGCTCTTTTGTAGAGCATCTCGGACTACACAGAGGGGCAAAGCTCCTCAGGTTTTAAACTGAGACAGGAGAAGTTTAGGGGAGATACTAGGAGGAAGTATTTCACACAGAGTGTGGTGAGGCACTGGAACAGGTTGCCCAAGGAGGCTGCGGATGCCCCATCCCTGGAGGCATTCAAGGCCAGGCTGGATGTGGCTCTGGGCAGCCTGGTCTGATGGTTGGCGACCCTGCACACAGCAGAGGGGTTGAAACTTGATGGTCTTTGTGGTCCTTTTCAACTCAGGCCATTCTATGATTCTTTGATTCATTCAAACTGCAGGTGCAGGCTAGGAGGAGCTGAGTTAAATTGTTCACTGTTTAGAACACAGGCTGCACTGTCAGAGCTCTTGTGTGTGGCCTCTTGACATCCCACGTGCCCTACTACACACCTTCCTTGCCTTTCCTGCTGCCCATCTTCCCCAGCATGGCTCTCCAAGTACTTCTGCCAGTAATCAGCAGCCTCTTGTTTTCGGTTCAGTTTCCACAGGACTTGCACCAGGTAGAAGGCAGCAGTGGTGTCATCTACAAGACACCATGATGGATTCAGACATTAGCAGGGAAAGATCAGGCCCCCCGTACTGCTGCAGTGCTGCAAAAGAAGCTTAGCTACCAGATGCAGGAACATGAGGACAGCTGGTGCAACAGGGGAGGAGACTGTCTATGTCATAGGCTCTAATTATAACCCTGCGGCTGGCAGCCAGGATGGAAGCCAAGACAGATGGCATCAGGCCTGCAGCACAGCCAACCACTCCTGTTTGGACACGAGTTGGGGTTTTCCTAGCATACACATCTGCAGTCCCAGCGCACAGCACTGGCTGGGAAGGAACCTCAGTCAGGTCTGGGACCACCAGTTTTGGCAGATCCTGCTAAGACTCAGACCCCTACAGCATCACAGCACTGCTGGAACACTGAGCAGCAGAGTTTGCAGAGATCACCCCAGAGCACTCATAGCACACTGCTCTGCACCCTGCTCCCTTAAAGGCCTCCACACTCAGCCTCTGGGCTGCCAGGTGTAGACAGGCACCTTCCCTGGGTGAAGCAAGACTCCATCTATCCAGCTATTTTGTTCTAGAAAAGCAAACCTTCTTGAGAAGAAGCTGACGGTACCGGGAGTGGGAAGGAAGAACTGAAAACTTTCAGGCTGCCTTAGGGCAGTAGTCATGATCAGTGTTCTGATGCATTCATCAAGCAATAGTTAGTAGTTCACCAAACTCACCAAGCTTCAGAGGAGCACCTCAAATATGTAACATGCTAGTAGCCCTTGGTATTTGAACAAGCATGACATAAATTATGATGTCTTCCTGCTGAAGTCATTAAAACAGGAAAAAAAAAAAAAAAAAAAAGTGAAAATTCTCTGTTCCTCATGAAAAAGAGCCTCTTACCTGGTGAGATCTGCAAGCCATGCTGAAAATCCAGCAAGGCTTCCTTGTGCCTCTCCTGCTCCAAAAACTGTATCCCACGCCCAATCAGAGAAAGCAACCTGATCTTCTGGAGAACCTTCACTTCTGGCAGTAGACTCTCTGTCACATAAAGTCACAGGTTAGTGGTAAAGATGTGTGAGATCTGCTTGGGCTGCTCATCTTCCAGCTCCCCTTCTGCACAAACAGCGGCACAGCCAAGACTGCTGCCAGGCTGGGAAAGGCCAGGAGGCAGCAAAGGGTAAGACCAACGAACATCAGGAGCTTGGTATGTTACATGCCTACAGTGTAACAGTAACCACAGCAGTAGCTTGGCCTTTGCCTGCTCATCTGCAAATCTCACACAAATCTTTCCTCTGAAATCCAGTACTGAGAAGCTTCACAATTCATTCAACTGTCACCTTTGTGAGAGAGAAGAAAGCAGAGCAAGGCCAAATTCTGCTCCAACGAAACCAGCCAGTCCTTTCAGTGTGGCACAGAGCTCAGCACACCGCAACAAACACCTCCTGCCAAAGGTGGCACTGGAGATGCAACCCTCTTTTACACGCCCTCGCCAAGCATACAGATGCAGACAACCAGACACAGATCCCACACAGTGCCTACCTGCTGGTTCAACCACACAGTGCCCTACCTGCTGGTTCAACATCACGCCCACATGGCTGAAATCGCAAGAGGTCGTTGAGGCACCTGCAAAGTGGTAGAACAGAACTTCAGTGCCATGCCTGGACTAGAAAGTCAGCTGTAAGCTGTCACACCAGCCCCCATGCTGATCTGTGCTCTGCTCAAACCAGTCATTACAGCCTGCTAGAGAGGCTGTCTCTCACAACACGACATTGTTACCTGCTGAATTGCATTATGGCCTCCTTGCCTTTGCCAAGCTTAGTCCATGCCCAGCCCTGGTGCAGGTAAGCAGCTGCTCTCCACATGAGGCAGAACAGACTCTCTCTCTTCTGAGACAGGAGCCCACCAGCCAGCCCAGTCTCCATTGATGCGCGCTCTGGCTGTTCCAGCTTCTCCTCAACTTGTACTATCTGTGGGATTAGGTGAGTTGTCCTGCTGATGACCTCATCACACACTGTTAATGAATCCTGATACCTTCCATCTTGCTCCAAGGCAGATGCTGCTTCCAGGAACACCTCAGGGATCCTAGGCAGAGGTGAGCCACTATCTAGGGGAACCTGGTGAGCAAAAGTGATGGCAGTGCTAAGATATAGCCAAGCAAAAGAACCATGTTTACTGGAAACCTAGAGCTGCTGTCCAGCAAAGCTTAGACCCATCCCCACAGCCACTGGAGCCTGCTGCAGGAAGCAGAAGGTGTCTCGCAACAATAGCTCAGCAGTCAAGAAGGCAAAGCCCTACTTCTAAAGCAAAGGGTATTCAAAACCAGGCCAACAGCTGCTCCCTACAAGAGGGAGCTGTTTCTCCAGACAGCAGTGGCAAGCAGTCTCTTGTGCGAATCCAAAAACAGACAGGCCAGAGTCACCAAATCCCCGTTCATTTCCTCCATATTTCAGGTTAGACACTGGAGCCTGGAGTCAAGCTGTGAAGTCTGGGCCAAGGCTTCATCTGCCAAGTCACCAAGATACCTGCCTGTTGCTGCAGTCCCTCCTGCAGCAGAGCCAGAAAATCCAGGTAATGTTCCACTGCATCAGCCACCCTGAAGAAACAGGACAAGTGTTGGAAAACAGGGTGAGCCTAAGAATTGCCAGCAGCCAGGCTTAACCTGAACTGTCAGCCTGCAGATGCTCCCTGTGCTGTACTCACTCTAGTTACAATACCTACAACTTTAGCAGTTACAACAGCAGTACTGGACTTCCAGGAACACAAAAAAGAAGAAAAAAACCCACCATAGATCCCAAACAAGTAGCATGTTGCAAGCAGACTAGAAGCTGCTGTTACCTCCCATCCTGGAGACACCTTTGTGCCAACAGGTATTTCACTTCAGAGGGGTGGTGATGGCGAAGGAGAGAAGTTAACATTTGTGTGTTGACAAGGAGATCTGCTTGGATTAGGAAGTATGGATTAGTGGAAGTAGCTGATGGAGAGTTTTTTTCCAGAGCCTGCAAAACAGGAACAAAATATATTATCAGCATAATCCTCGTCAAGTCCCAAACAGCTGCAATCACTTCTTATTTCTGGCATCTGCAGATGTACCCAGAAAGTAGAAGTAATACATCCTGTGCACAAATCATTGTCATTCACTACATCACAGCCACTTTCAGGACAAGGAAGATCACAGCGAGACAGGCAGATTCATACATTCCACACAACATTAGGAGATAAGACCATTCACCCAGAGAACATGTGCCCCAACTTTTCAGTTCACATTGCTCTGACTTGTCTGAAACAGCATCTCCCATTGCAGCCACTGACCTGGTTAGACCAGATCTGGGGCCATTAGTAATAAGAGACTGCTCTCCACGACTGTGTTTGTATGTGATGCATTTCAAACAGCTGAAGAGCCAAGCTCAGTGTTTATGGCTGTGACCTGCTCCTCCTAGGATGATCAAGTTTGCTATGACTGACTAATGTACACCTACAGCCACCATCTGCCTTATAAGGCCTCTTTACTAGACAATTAAGAGACTGATATTCCCTGACACCAGAAAATAGCCTCTTCTCAAGCCACCGAAAATCTGAACTAGGACTCAGAGATCTTGCCACATCCAACAGCTGGGTGCCAACAGCAGGAACTCCTGACCAAGCTGGGCTCCTTCCTGCCCACTGATGAATCCAAAGAAGCAGTTGCTGAAGGTACTGGATTTCTATTTTAGAAACCCCCTCAGAAAGCAGAAGCATGTTTGAAGGTCCATGCGGGCTTTGTGAGACAAAAAAAAAAAAAAAAAGCCAGCAGAACTACAGGAGACATATACCTCATAGAGTAGAGATAGGGCCTGCAGCTCTGCATCTGTCTCCCCCAGCTCCTGGTACACCGCTGCAGTGTGAGACAGGGCAGGATGGCACTGGAAGTCTACCTGGAGGGCCCGCTTCAGGTGCTGAAGTGCTGTCTGAGGCTTGCCCTAGGAAGGTGAGAAGAGGTTTTTGCGCAAGGACATCTTACTGATATCTTTACAGTTCTGCTTTGTTTCTCTAATGATCCCCCCTAAGCAAAGGCAGTTTACACTCATATAAGTTAGCCCAGCAGCTCATCAAACCCTCTTCCGCACTGCCAGCCTCCCTCACAGAACTCCTTCCATCCCCACCAGGCAGCATATTCATATCAGTTGTTCACAGCACTTCAGACTCCCTCCCTGGAACCATTATTCTGAGTTTATCTTTCCACGTCAATCTTTCACACTCAGACAAAAGTCTTGCCTGTATTTTGAGGCTGCCAAGGAGGCTGGAATAACAAGGGAAAATTCTGCTTGAAACCTTGACTTCTTGTAGCAGACTAGGACCACGCAGAAGCAGCATGGACATTAGCATGTTTCCCCAGCTTGCTCCGGGCTGCTTTCCCTTTTCCCTTCAACAGGGGGGAGGTGAGGCTTGGCCATTACCATTCTCTGAGCACAGCAGCCAAGGCAGACGTAGATCTGGGCCAGGACCCTCGTGGAGCAGAATCCTCCTGCAGCTTCCTGGAGAAGGCAAAGGGTAGTGGGGAGGTTTCCTGCCTCCAGCTCTTGCAACCCTAGGACAGATCCAATATTTCAGCTCTGCAGCTTCCCTTCCCATTTTGCCTTTCCATCAAGCAAGCACATGTAGACACCTTCCTCATTCATCCCTTGCTTACAGATCTACTCTCACAAAGGAAGCAATCCTATGGGTCCAGCTGTGCTGGATTCTGGGCTGCATCAAAACAGGAGTGGCCAACAGGGAAAGGAAGTCCCTTTCTGCTCTGCCCTTGTGAGACACCATCTGCAGTACTGCATCCAGGTCTGAGGCATCCAGCACAAGGATGCAGACCTGCTGGAACAGGAAGGCCACAAGGATGATCAGATAGCTGAAGCACCTCTCCTGTAGTGAAGACAGACAGAGCTGGGATTGTTCAGCCTGGAGAAGGCTCACTGTGGCCTTCCAGTACCTAAATGGGGCCTGCAGGAAAGATGGAGGAAGGCATTTTTCCTAGATCACAGTGATAGAAATATTAATGGCTTTAAACTAAAGCAGGGTAGATGTAAATTAGACATTAGGAGGAAATTCTTTACTCAGACAATAGTGAGGCACAGGAACAGGTTGCTTAGAGAAGCCCAGGAGTGTCCAAGGTGAGTGGAGCTATAGACAACCTGGTGGAAGGTGTCCCTGCCTACAGCAGGGAGGTTGGAAGTGGATAATCTTTAGGGTTCCTTCCAACCCATACCATTCTATAAATTCTGCTCTATAAAATTAAATAATTATCTACTGAAATATGAGATGACAAGGTTGCACAATAGCTTTGCATGTCTCTCACAGCATTGTAATCAGAAGGAACAATATACTCACAAAAAGTCAGGCAACTAAAGACAAAATAAAGCCCCCTGTCAGCCTTCTATTTTTTACAAGGTCACTGTGAATCCCATACACCAAGCTAAGTCACAAGGCAGGCTGAAGAAGAGGGAGTCTTAGCTGGAAGAAAAATCAGAGAAACACCGGATACCAAGCTTAGGCCTAAAGACTGAGTCCAGGCTCTTTTCTGAAGAGAAAAGCCCAATGGCTGGCATGCTTAGGAAGAGCAACCAAAACAACAGCAGCAGGTGGGTGAGAGGAGGGTGTGCTGGGACAAATGAGCAGGGGAGGGAGTGACAAGGGTGACCACCTCCTTCACACAAACCTTGCAAGAAGGCAGTTGCCGTGCACAGGGTCCCCTTCAAGTCCTCAGCGCTCTGTACAAGGGAAACGGAGGCCTCCTCAGCAGGTGCTCTCCATGCCTTGAGAAGGGTGAGGAGCTCATTTTTCTCTCCACTGCATGGAGCTCTCCCTGGATCCTGTGAACATACAGAGGAGAGAAGGCAGGGAATGCTGAGGAGAAATAGGAAAAACAGACCCCAGGGTAATGGGAAAGAGAACACCAACTAAACCCTTCCCAGTGATCTATGCAGGGGAGCATTCCACCCCCTCACTTTAACTACAATCCACTCACATTGTGATTCCTGCCTGACCGTAGGCAGCACCTCTCCACATCAGCGTGAGGGGTAGCCAAAGGGACTCCCAGCAAGGCAGGTCTGAGTGCTGTCTGAAAGCATCTGCCCCTCCTTATCAGCAAGAAGGGTTCTTTGCCTTGCTCTGTAGAGACTGCAAGTCCACCAGCAGCCTCCATCATGTGCCTGGTGCCCCAGGATCTCTGGGATCCATTAACACGTTTGGGACTGTTTTCAGTAAACTGGGATGCCAGGTAAAAACAGAGGTGACTGGGAAAAAGTGTTTCAGATCTGCAAATGCTACGGAAACATATGCAGAGTAGGCTTTCTGACAAACACAGAATTTGTGTCAGCTCTGCATCCTTTAGCAAACTGGCAAGTATTTATTTTAGACTGTACAAATATAGGTACAGCACACACAGATGACTTAGAAACTCACAGTGACAGCAAGAAAGTGAAATACAAGCCCAGGCTAAATGGGGCTCCTGGCAGCAGCAAACAAGTCAGACGCTTCCCTCTGAGGTAGAGCACACAAACTGGCTAATGCCCACCCACAGGTGCCTTGGCTGCAAATGACGTGACTCGCCCAAAAAAGCTTCAAGTGCCAGCTGCAGAGCAAAGCAGGCTACAAGAGTTGCAGGAGGCAAGGTGTAACCTGTGTAAGAAATCCCCAAGGCTAAGAGAAGGTGGCTAATTCACACTTCAGAGCTGTAGGAGTAGCACAACAGGCAAACACTCTGGCACACGGCAGTGCAGGAGCTGCTCAGCATGCATCCGTGCTCAGATACCTCAGCACTGCTCAGGAGTCGGAAGAGGTCAGTGATGCTCTGCAGGCAGCTATCTGCCAGCCACCATGCTGCCTGCAAGGCCCCCAGTCGGTGCAAAGGTGCCTGTAGTTCCTCAACAGTTACTTCCTGCAGCACCTTCTGCCACAGCTCTTCTGTGCTAAGGTCCTGTCCAGAGGTTCCACAAGCCTCCAGAACTAGAAAAAAAGATAAGCCAGAAATCAAAACTAAACCAAAATATCTCACCAAAAAGCAACCACGAGACAACAGGCCAATATTCTGTAACAGCCACCTTTCCAACAGGCAGAGAAACGCTGATACAAGCGTGGTCTCCTTGGCAGTAAGGGATGGAATGGACTTAACAAGGCTTGCCCAGGCTACAGAAGCAGCACAGGAAGCAAACTCTGACAGTGGAGCTAATGGCTTCACACAAAAGAGACACTACACAGTTTAGAGCTACGGCTACAGCTTTACTGAGCTCTCCTGATATTTTATACCGATATTACTATTTGTCCAAGAGCAAACATGCTAACACTGCAGATTTCTCTCCAAATTTCTCTTGCAGCATTTTTTAGTAAGCTTTCTTTGATCTCACCATACCATAATAAAAACACTAGTTTGCTAAAGTCACTAAAACTTTGCTAGAGAAATGGCATCTTATGTAGTAAAAACTCTCCGTTCCCTTAAATTTTTCTGTTTTGCTGCAGGCAAGACAGCCACACAGCTGCACATCATCCACAGCCACGTGCAGCTCTACCTCCTCCATTCCTGGCAGAGCCAGTCTTCCTTGTTCAAAGATCCTTCTCTTCTGGCCAATTATGGTACATCACTAAAGCACTGAAATAGTTTTCCTTACCCCTGCAGAGCCCTTGGCGTATTCCTTCTGCTTCTCCTTTGATGGCACAGTCAGATGTTCCCATGACAAAGAGCAGCGAGTTGTAGAGGACAGTAAGCTCCAGAGGCATCGTAGGGAGGGCAGGTGGCAAGCCTATAATCGAACCCATCAAGACACCGATCTTCCTCTTCACGGCTTTAAAAAGCCCTACAACCACCCATGCTTTGTGACAAGTTTCCTGTCATTTATTTTGTTGTTATGGTGTGAATCTATAACTTGAGGATTGCACAAACTAGAGTGACAGCAGATGCTCCCCACCTCTCCAGGTGCCAGCAATGATTCAGCCATCTGCTCCTCTGGTATCCAGATACTGCAGCGTTCCAGGCCTTATCTTACAGCACTTCCAAAAGACCACCAAAAACCTGCCCCCTTCCAGTACTGATCTATTATCTTGAACATAGACAGGTCTCCTGCACTGTCTCTCCCCAGGTACCTCCACAGAGCAACTTGTTCTGCTCCTCAAATCCTCCTCTCAAATGAGAGTGCATTGCTCTCTCATCGGATTCTCTCTGTAGCCCACTTGCAGCAAGGAATCAGAGAATCATCTGAGTTGGAAGGGAGCATTAAAAGTCACCTAGTCCAGTTCTGCAGTGATCAGGAACAACTGATATAGGCTAGTTTGTTTAGCAATACGGACCAGTATATTAGTGTAAGGACCAATAGATCAGAGCTTAGCAAAAGGAACCAGTGAATGCTAATTCTAAAACTTTCCATTTCAACTTTGCCTGGTGTGTGAACAGCCTTATTTTCTCTTAGTTTTGCTTCACAGGAAGCACTAGAGTCATAATACAACACTTATTTTTGCATTTTACCAGGTGCAAGGATGTTTTCCTCGAATTTCATTTATATTGTTTTGGAAGTTGCTCGTTATAGTCTAAAAAGCAATGGGAATTTGCCAAGTTGTGGAAAAACAGCTAAAGGTCAGCCAGAAGTTTTAGTGATTAAGCTGATGGCGGAAAAATGGGGGTAAACTACCACCCTAAATACAACTGCGCATGCCCAGAGGGATATTAGCATATATTAATGACTTATTGGAAAAGAATGAATATGTATGTAAGGGTACTGCATATGTATGTCTTATTTGTTTAAATGTAGAACCTGAACTCTGAGAGAGAAGACTTGTCAAGTAGCCCAGTGCGTATCATAAGGAATAAAGGAATGCTACTTTCTAACACCACGTTGGAGTTAAGAGTTTTCTTCTCAGATTTTGGATTACACACCCACAGCTCCATCAGGTGCTCAGAGCCCCTCCAGCCTGACTATGAACATCTCCATGGATGGGGCATCCACCACCTCTCTGGGCAACCCATTCCAGTGCTTCACTACCCTGACTGTAAAAAAACCCTTTTTTGTTATATCCAGTCTAAACCACCCTTCTTTTAATTCAAAAGCATTTCCCTTGTCCTGCTGAAGTCTGTCTCCTCCTTTCTCACAGCCCCCTGGTTAGATACTGACAGGCTGCTCTCAGGTCTCCCCAGAGCCTTCTCTCCCCAAAGCTGAACAGCCACAGCTCTTCCTCAGCATGGCACGATGACAAGCTGTTCCTCTCCTGCAGTCACACTTCTCCAAGGAAAGGCCTCCTCTTATTTTCCAGACATACCTAAACTCGGTTGTGCTTCCCAACGAGCTCGAAGGCCGGGGCTGAGCCTTGATCCCTTTGATTAAGGACTGAGCTCAGTTTCAAGGCAGCACAGAATGCATCGCCCTCCTCCCTTCAGCTCACCCCAAGCGGTGGAATTCTCAGGGAAGCAGCCTGGGAACACCGGTGCCCTGCACGGCCCGGCTCTGGGTCTGCAGCAAACGGCAGATCGCAGCAGGGCCGCCACTCACCCCGCATCCGCAGCAGCAGCTCCCCGAAGGCGCCTCGCAGCTGCCGCGCCGCCGCCGCCGCTCCTCCGTGCGCCGAGCAACGCGCTGCCTGCAACGGACACGCTGACCAGCCGGCCTCACACCGGGGCCGAGCCTCGTGGAGACAACCCGTGCCGAGGCCGCGGGGAGGGACAGGGGGACGAGGGGAGTGCCTCACCCGCCATCGGCCGGCCAGGGCCTCGCACTCGGCCGCCCACGCCTGCAGGCAGCCCTGCTCCGGGGCCGCCCCGCACCGCTGCCGCTTCATGGCCGCCGCCACCCGCGCGCTTCAGTCCTCCCGCCTTCCCGCTCTCCTCTCATTGGCCGCTGCCCTCTTTGCCCTCGCCGCCATTGGTCGGGAGAGAGCAGTCGCCACGGCGACAGCTGAGGGCGAACAGCGGAAGGGACGACGGCGGGCGAGGAAGCCCAAACCGCGACGCCCCGCGGCCGGCGGAGGAGACAGCTACAGCCTGGGCTTCGCTGTCGAATCACAGAGGCGTTCGAGCTGGAAGGGACCTTTTAAAGGTCATCTGGTCCAACTCTCCTGCAAAGAACAGGGTCACCTCATTGTGGCCTTCCAATACTTCAAGGCAGCATACAAACAGGAGGGGGAACAGCTGTTTATGAGGGTGGATAGTGATAGGGCAAGGGGGAATGGTCTTAAACTGAGCCAGGGGAGGCTTAGGTGAGATATTAGGAGGAAGTTTTTCATACAGAGGGTGGTGACGCACCGGAACAGGTTGCCCGAGGAGGTTGTGGATGCCCCATCCCTGGAGGCATTCAAGGCCAGGCTGGATGTGGTTCTGGGCAGCCTGGTCTGGTGGTTGCAACCCTGTACATAGCAGGGGTTTGAATCAAGGTGATCTTTGTGGTCCTTTTCAACCCAGGCCATTCTATGATTCTATGGTCTGCATCTCAGTCAGAGCTCAGACCCTGGCCCAGTCATAATGTCTCTGTATAGCACTGCTTTGCTAGTTTCCACCCCAAAATCAGAGCCCGGTGCTGTTGAATTGTGTCACCAAGAGACCAGATCGTGTGCAGGAATGATGGCCTGCTTTAACCCCACCTTTCTCCTAAGGACATCCAACCCAAATAGCTAAGGGAAGAACGTGGGGCCTGGTGAGATGGTGGGCAGGAGGGAGGGAAGGAAAGGGCAGG